ATTATATTGCAATAAAATAAATTTGAGTCTACATTAAATTGCTAAAACTACCACCATTAAAGAGCAATTATTTTAAGTTTAGCTGTTTTATTCTACTGTATTACAGAATTCAACATTTCTATCAATAGATTAAAAGAATAATAACAACATCTCTCAAACTGGGTCATGCATTATAATTCATTTTCGTGACCTCTGTAATTACAATGTACCACCCCTAGGGGGCAAGCCCCCCTGTTTAGGAGCTTCTGTTTATGTGTATGCATTTAGCAGTCATTTTTATCCAAGAGCAGTGACTGCTGTGCTGGTGAGGAGTCCGTATGAAGGCGTAGTCAGCCTGGATGATAACATGAAAACTTGATGAAATGCAACATGAAAGCTCAGAATGCAGATATGTATAAGAAGATTTAGCCCCACATACTGAAGAGGCACACTTTAGTCTTTTTTTAGATGAGAAAATTGGAATTGTGCTGTTTTGACTGCCATGAAAAATCTGGATATGCGTCACATATGGGGGAAAAAAATCTATTTAGGTCTTGTTTACCTGCAGTATGATGGTAGACTTGGTTTAGGGGCACGCCCAGTCGCAGGTTTTTATTCTTACATGTGAATTTTGTTCTCATATGACATGTTTGCTGTGTTCTCCAAGATGTGGAAAATTGCAGAAAAGTTCAGTCCTTTTCAGCATTTTTTTTGTTCTCGCTAACTCTGCTTGACCTAACCTTAACCCTGGCTTAGTTGGAGGAACACATTTTGAAGTAGGGCTGCCGATATGCCATAGTCTTTCCATGTTCAGATGAGGAATAATATAGAGTCCTGTAAGATGAAGAACAACTGGATTTATAGTGAGATAAGAGGTATTAGGCTAAACATTGATACCAAAGGATTATATACTTTTCTTTTTATTTGTTAAAAATAAACTCATCAGAATACAACATTTTGGAATATTTGGCATAAGGAGGCTCAATTTTCCTTCTCTCCTGCTGAACATAAACCTGTGGGGCGGAGGGAAGCCCAGCCAATCTATATGTCATGATTTAATTAAAGGTCTGACCCAAAATGCAGAAGACCAAACAGAGAGACCAGGGAAAAGTTTAACAGGTTTATTAAGAATATAGAGATGAGTCCAGTGTTGCTCTGAACACTGTCAAACCGGAACTGGAAAGTGAGGGGAAGACACTGCGGTTAGTTCAGGCTCAGTGGGAAAATAGATTCTTTGGTTTGAATTGGAGGAATAGGTTGCAGATTCACTTCTCCAGAAAAAGGGTGTCCTTTATGGAATCCAGTCTGTGTGGGATGTTCCAGAGATTGTCTTGTTTGGTGTTGGGCGGACTGGGTTACTCAGACTGCGGTTGTTCCTTGGTTAATGGAAAACTGACTGCCATTCAGATTTCATGTGGTACTTGAACGGGCTGTGGTGGCAAAGACAAAAACAAAGTTAAGACTCAGGTTGACAAAATTCAGGTTAGCCTCTGCTAAACTAAGCATGGCTAGAGTGCCCAGTATTGGCAAACACTCTGGCCTCGAGGTAGTGGCAGTCAGCAGCTTAAGAACACTCCACAGGTAATGAGGTAANCCCAGTATTGGCAAACACTCTGGCCTCGAGGTAGTGGCAGTCAGCAGCTTAAGAACACTCCACAGGTAATGAGGTAATGAGCTGCAGGTGTACAGGGAGACCCAATGAGGACGGGGCACCACCTGGTGGAGGAGGAAAGGAAACGCAAAAACAGACCACACAAACAGGATTCCTGACACTATAATGATTAGATATCTCTTGTAACAGTGTTAATGCTGCATATTAATTACTTCCAAAAAATAGCACGCCTTGGACTAAAGTGAAAATTACCACCCAACCTCCCTTTAAACATTGCAAATCTTTTAACTGAACCAAATTCACCCTGCTACAAGATTATAAAGATAAACCACACAAAGAACAAATTTTTGAGGGCCTGAATTCTGCAACAGAAACAAAAATTGGCATAATTAAATAAATAATAAATAACTAACTGAAGTCCATTAATACAATATAACAGCTATAAGTTCTTTATCTGTCTCCCATATTTTTTCAGAAAGACATTGCTGAGTTTCTCCTGAGTGTGTGCAGAAAGCAACATAATCAAAACCAGAAACTCAAACAATCTGAGCAATTCTTCAAACAAGGACACTATTCAGCAGTGTTGCACCTAAAGCTCTTAATCTTTTTCATTAATTTTAAAAAGATCCTACATTCTTTCAAGCTTATTCTTTAAAATATTTTTAAGATTGAGCAGAAGCTTTAAACTGAGTTACATTCAGGTGTTCCTGCCTAACATAAAGACATATGATGGGAGCTGCATGGCAGGTTTTGACTAATTAAGAAAAATATTGAGGCAGGTGAACAAGGAAATTGGTGTGAAGACATGAAGCAAAGCTGATGGGAAGCAAACAAAACACAGATTTTATAAATATAAAGAGGAACTGAAAACCTGATGAATAGTGACACCAACTGAAGGCTTAAAGGAATAGTACACCCAAAACATTTTCTACTCACCCCC